TCTCAAATTTTTCAATATGTTTTAAAATGTTATTTATTCCTTTGATGCTGGAGCTTAATTTTCAGCATGCGTTATGTCAGTTTTCAATGTTTCATTAAACTTAGAATATCATTATAATATGCGGATTTGATTCTCAAAGCTTTTTACAGTGTACTTTCTTCTGTCAATTCTCTTGATTTACCCTGGCTGAATAAAACTATCTTCTTAAAAATATGAATTTTTATCTGAATAAAAACTTCTCTTAAAAAAACGTACTAAGTTACTAACTTTCAGTTCATTTTGTGTCAGAGACGTTTTATTAAACAACTTCGAAAAATAGATTCTGTGTTCCTGTGCGATGAACCAATATATATATTCATTCATTCATTTTCCTTTGACTTAGCCACTTTATTCAGTTTGTATGTTCTCCCCATGTTCGTGTGGGTTTTCTCCAAGTCCTCCTGTCTCCACCACAGTCCAAACACATGCGCTATAGGTGAATTGGATGAACTAAATTGGCCGTAGTGTATAAGTGTGGGTGTGAATGCGAGAGTGTGTTTCCCAGTACTAGGTTGTGGCTGGAAGGGCATCCGCTGCCTAAAACATATGCCAGAAAAGTTGGTGGTTCATTCCACTGTGGCAACCCCTGATAAGTAAGGGACTGAGCCGAAGAAAAAATGATTAATAATTCACAATTGAAGCATTTTTCAATTGGCATAAATGAATCATTTGTAACAAGCAATCTACAAACACACACACACACACACACACACACACACACACATTGTATTATACACAGCAGATAAAGGTATATTTTATTTGTTTAGTATGTGTGTATATCAAAAATGTATACCCCTTTGTTTTTATATCACATTAAAATATTAATCTCTATATACATAGGCCAAAGATAGAATCCAATACTACCAAACAGGAGAAGACTTCATCTTCCCTTATGACCTGGGCAGCCGATGGGAAAACTTTAAGCAGGTGTTCACTTGGTCTGGTGCTCCAATGGGAGATGGAATTGAATGGCCTGTGCATGAAAAGTGTGACCAGTACACTTTAACTGTACGTACTCAGCCATTATATATAATAAGACTTATTTTACATCCAGGTTTTAATGATCTTTTTGTTTCTTTATTTAGATAGAGCAGCTGAAGCAAAAACATGACAAGCGTCAGAGGAGTGTGAGTATTGCTGTAACCGCTTTTAATCACTAGAGGGCGTCGTTTAATAAAGACTGATTAAATGCTGAACGCACTGTGCAGGTGGAGTACAGAGTGGTGGAGGAATATAATGGAGCCTGTTGTCCATTGGGAAAAGGACTTAACACTTTCTTTAGGACACCTTGTACGGAGGAGCCCAGGATCAAACTGACGAAGGGGGAGACCATCTTTGCTACTAGAGGAACAAAGTGGGTTGATGTTTTAAGTTATTTTGCAAATGTTGAAGCAGTTGAAATTTATATGGTGACTTTTCATCTGGTATAAGTCTATAGTAAAATATAATATATATAAATAGATGTATTCAGTAAGAATGGATTATATTGGTCAAAGATGACAGTAAAGACATTTATAATATTATGATTATTATTATATTAACTCAGTTTATTTTCGGGGTTTAAAAATTACAGTTATATGTTTCAGTAGGACATTATACAGTTTTATTTCATTTTGTGAACTGATATTTTTTCCAAAAATAAAATGTGTAATAATAATAATAATAATAGTAATAATTATAATGAATATTATTAATTGGCCACTTTATTAGGTACACCTTACTAGTACCTGGTTGGACCCCCTTTTGTCTTCAGAACAGCCTTTATCCTTAGTGGCATAGATTTAGCAAGATGCTGGAAATATTCCTCAGAGATTTTGGTCCATTTTAACATAATAGCATCTCACAGTTGCTGCAGATTTGTCGGCTGCTCATCCATGATGCAAATCTCCCGTTCCACCACATACCGAAGGTGATCTATTGGATTGAGATCTGGTAACTGTGGAAGCCATTTGAGTACAGTGAACTCACTGTCATGTTCAAGAAACCAGTCTGAGATGAATTGCGATTTATGACATGGCACGTTATTCTGCTGGAGGCAGCCTTTAGAAAATGGGTACACTGTGGTCATAAAGAGATGGACATGGTCAGCCACAATACTCAGGTAGGCTGTGGTGTTGACATGATGCTCAATTGGTACTAATGAGCCCAAAGTGTGCCAAGAAAATATCCCCCACACCATTACACCACCACTAGCCTGAACCGTTGATACATAGCAGGATCGCTCCATGCTTTCATGTTGCTGACGCAGAGTTCTGACCCTACCAGCTGAATGTCACAGCCGAAATTGAGACTCATCCGACCAGGCAACTCTTTTCTTATCTCCAAGTGTCCAATTTAGGTGAGCCTGTGTGAATTGTAGCGTCAGTTTCCTGTTCTTAGCTGACAGGAGTTGCACCCGGTGTGGTCTTCTGATGCTGTAGCCCATCCGCCTCAAGGTTTAATGTGTCGTGTGTTCAGAGATGCTCTTCTGCATACCTCAGTTGTAATGAGTGGTTATTGGAGTTACAGTTGCTTTTCTATCAGCTTGAAACAGTCTGGCCATTCTCCTCTGGCATCAACAATCATTTGCGCCCACAGAACTGCCGCTCACTGGATATTTTCTTTTTCTGACCGTTCTCTTAAATCCTAGAGATAGTTGTGCATGAAAATCCCAGTACATAAGCAGTTTCTGAAATACCAGCCCATCTGTCCGAATTCCATTCATACTTTTCACATTCATACTGTATAGAACGTACTTTACTAACGGCCGAGTAGTACGTTTAAAATCAAATGCAGTACCTACTGAGTAGTAGGCGGTTTCGGGCGCAGCCCATGTCTACATGCCTAAATGCATTGAGTTGCTGTGATGTGATTGGCTGATAAGAAATTTGCATTAACAAGCAGTTGGACAAGTTTACCTAGTAAAGTGGCCGGCGAGTGTAAATAATTAAAACATTTCAAAAGTACTAAGGAATTGATATTTTTTTGAATAACTTTGACTTTCAATCACAACATAACATTTGTTTAAAAAAAAAAAAAAAACACCAATTGTCATTTTTTCTGAAAACAATGCTCTGAATAATAATTTTATTTGAAAACTGAATCGTTTTCACTATTGAATAAATCAAAGATTTTAATTTTACTTAATTTTGGGGTCATAAACAAGATTTTTATGAATTAACAGGTGGTGGATGTACGGAGACAAAGTTTTGAATGAGGAGCAGGCTAAAGGTAAGTTTCAGAAAGTACCTACTAAATGTTGAAATTGAATAATTAAACGTTTCATGAGTCTATAAATTGAGATTTCTTCCTTCAGCTGGAGTTCGTATCAGAGGATGGTTTCCTCGCCGATGTGTGGAGAAATGTCTCTATGACTCAGCCAATAACTCGACGAGTGAAGAAAAGAAAGAACAATGATGCAGAATTTCACATCTAAACAGAAGACCTGAAATATGGGCCTGAAACCCTGCTGACATGCACATTTCTTTCTGATTCTTTTTGTAAAGCTGTTCAATGGCACCAGCGATAAGTGTTGAATTAAACTGATACTGACACCCCAAAGGTACTAACCTCTGAAACTTAAAAAGAACAAAAAAAAATTTGTAAAAATCATTTCCAAAGAAAAGCTGGCGGAAAAAAACTGGCTAATGAGAAGGAAATGAGAGTTTTATAATAATGGGATCGGGATGTATGGACGCTTATTCTTTAAAGGGGATTAAGATTTTACTTGAAAATTGTAGTTTCTTCTTGCCTTTCTCTTACTCGCTTGCTATTTCTGGTTTGTTGATGCTCACACTGATTATGCAAAGCCTTTTCCAGTCTTAACCAGGTGTTTGTCATGCAGATTTCTCTTAAATTGTTTATATAACTGAATAATTTTATTTTATTTTTGATGTCTTTTTTGTAAAACTGATGTCAACCTCGCTGAAGTTTTCAGAGATGAATAAACAACCTTGATCTGTACAGTCATTTCCTCATTTTATTTTCATCATTTTTTTAATAGAACGCAACAACAACACTAGTTTCTACACTGCAAAAAATGTGTTCCTTATTTAGAGTTGTCTTGCACTGTAAAAATGCTGAGTTCCACAAAAATCCTTCATGTAAACTTAAATGTTTTTACAAATTTAAGTAGATTAAATGTAAGTTGTCCCAAAAAAACTTCCACTTAGTTTAAATAAGTAGTTTAAACAAGCAGCAAAAGTCATTTTTGAGTGCATCTCTAGTCCAAATATGTTAAAGTATCTTAAATCTTAAAGCATTTTCTAGACAAGCAAATAATATTGCCTTATTTTCAGAAATAATGAGCCAAAATAAAATCATAGGGTAAATAATTTACTAATGGGGTAAGTAAAAAAAAAACGATTCAAAGCAGAAACCAGATTTTTTAGCTTGATTTAAGGGAAAAACTCATTTTTAATTTCATTTTAATTTTGACTTTTTGAAAACAAGGCAATATGTTTACCATGTCTAGAAAATACTTCTAAATTTAATAATTTTTAGATATTTGAACTACAAACATGAAAACAACTCCACATAAGTCAGGGTGACCAAACTTGGTCCGGAAGGGGCCAGTGTCCTGGAGAGTTTAGCTCCAACCCTAATTAAACACATCTAAACCAGCTAATCAAGTTGTAACTAGATAAACTACAACAGAGGCGTCCAAACTCAGCCCGGAAAGGGCCAGTGTCCTGCAGATTTTAGCTCCAACTTCAACACACCTGGCAGAAAGTTTTTAGTATATCTAGTAAGAGCTTGATAAGCTGGTTCAGGTGTGTATGATTAGGGTTGGAGCTAAACTCTCCGGGACACCGGCCCTCCAGGACTGAGTTTAGACACCCCTGACATAAGTAAAGCTTTTTTAGCAGTGTATACCTCAAATATCACATTTCAATGTCGTATTAACATTTTCTCTGATGGGAAAACCAAAATAAATGAAAATTCTTTCAATTTGTAAGGCTGTTTGTACAATTGCTTTCAAATAGAACCAGACAATGCTTTTATTTCTTTCTGACTGACAAGGAGAGTGTGTTGGGAATAGGTTAATAAATGCAGTGAGGGCTGATACAGTGCAGTGCTGACAAAATATGTTATCTTTTAGCAAATATAGAAAAAACACAATACAAACAGCACTCATAAATATGTGAAACTTTTTTTTTAGTGCACTACATGTTGGCGTAAAGACTCTCGATCTGAACTCTGAAGTATTTGGTGAGATCTGCCCGTTTGGCTTTGAGTGTTGGAGTGAGGAGGCCATTTTCTATAGTGAACATGTCGGGATGCAGGTACAGGTCTTTTACCTGAAAGAAAAGAACAAAATCTTTAGCAGCGATTCGAAGCAGTTATCTTATTAAGTAATTGTTCCTCTTTAGAACCCTGGAAATAAAACATGTCATTATGATTAACTTTAAAGGAACGGTTCACATTTTTGGGGATTTTAGCTTAGCTTAGCATAAATCATTGAATCAGATTAGACCATTAGCATCTCACACAAAAAAAAACTACTTTCTTTGAATATAGGTTCATTTTACAAATTTCATAAAGTTAAATAGTTGAGTTTTACTATTTTTAAATCCATTCATATCGCTGGGTCGTTTAGCATCTTTGGTAACATTTAGCTTAGCTTAGCAAATATCATTGAATCGGATTAGACCATTAGCATCCCACTAAATAAACGTGAGAAAAGGGTTGATCATTTTCCTAATTAAAGCTCGACTCTTCTATAGTTACATTGTGTTTAAGACTGACGAAAAGTTGCTTTTTTCTATGCTGATATGGCTTAGAAATGCACTCTTATTCTGGCATAATAAAACAATTCATTTGGATTTATTTTTAGATCTCTTTCTGTAAACGAAACACGCCACTTCTATAACTCCTATAAAGTTAAAAAGTTCAGTTTTACCATTTTTAAACCTCTTTACCCAATCTCTGGATCTGGCTGGAGCACTCTTAGCTTAGCATAGCATCAATCATTAAATCAGATTAGACCAGGGGTGGCCAAACCTGTTCCTGGAGAGCCACCTTCCTGCAGATTTCAGTTGCAACCCATATCAAACACACCTGCCTGTAATTATCACGTGGTGTTCAGGTCCTAATTAATTGGTTCAGGTGTGTTTGATATGGGTTGCAACTGAAATCTGCAGGAAGGTGGCTCTCCAGGAACTTGACTCTTCAGTAGTTACATTGGGTATTATGACTGATGAAAAGTTCTTTGCTGTCAAACTAGGGCTAAGATGAGATGATAAAAGGCCCACCTGACCATAAACCATCCAATATAAAAAGATAACGAAAGGGGTCAAAAACTAATCAAACAGATGTAAATGTTGTAAACAGGATCCCATCCATCAAAATGCATCCTTATACCAGGTATTAACAGAAATTAGCATGGTTTTATGACAGCCTGTTTAATGTGCATACACTGCATATGGCCTATAGCTGGAAGTAATTAAACAGTAATGGTAGATAATTATAATACCAGATCATAAAAATGCTTACTTGTTCAAAAGACTTCAGCCCTGCTTCACGACCCAGCTTGTTGAGGTCAGAGATGATTGCTTTTTTGAGTTCCTACAAAAGGATGAAGATTGAGCTCTTACTTTGTGGAGTGAATGTTAAAAAACTTCAAATATTAGCAAAATCACAAAAATGTGTATTTACATAATTATGTAAGTTTACACAGTGTACCTGATTTCTACATAGCTCTTCTAGTGAACCTTTCAATCCCAGTTTCTCTGCGAAACCTGGCAATACTTCAGGATCTGGCACCACTATGGCCACCAAAGAGGACTGGACACATTCAATTGAAAGTTATTAAGCTATGTGATCATTTTCATTTTAAGCTTTTTTATTAATCGGAGAAAAGCAAGGAGTTAATAGTAGCTCACCTGTAAACTTTCACCATGTACAAACACCTGGGCAACTGGAGCGCTGCGAATGTAAACATTTTCAATCTTTTCCGGTGCAATGTATTCACCCTGGGCCAGTTTGAAGATATTCTTCTTCCTGTCAATGATCTTCAGCACCCCACTCTGATAAATCACAAAAAAATACTAATTGTATTAATTTTATTTTATTTGTGTGTGTGTGTGTGTGTGTGTGTGTGTGTGTGTGTGTGTGTGTGTGTGTGTGTGTTTTGTTTAATGCTTAATTTGTGAGCAAATAAAGACTATGATACATTTTTACCATAATTTACCAAAGACACCCCCTAAAATGTCCTACTGTAACAATTGTTTACACTCCAAAAACTTTTTAAATCTTTCCCATTATCCTTTAAACCTATTTGTACGCAACAACATTTTAATCTTTAAAGATTAACTAGCCAACTAGACTAATCATGTACTTATTATAATATTGACTTGTATATATAATTTAGAAGTCAAAGCTCAGCATCCATCACATCCAGTTTTACATTTTTCTTTAGTTTTGTGACCTTGGCTAATGAAGTTTGATGTATTTGTAAAAAAGAAAAAAAGAAAAAAAAAAAAAATATATATATATAGTTATGTATGACTCTTAAATTGAAATCTCACAGGAAGCCATTTGCCAATATCGCCAGTGTGAAGCCACCCATCTTTGTCCAAAGCCTCTGCTGTTTTTTCTGGATCACCGAGATACCCACGGAAAACATTTGTCCCTTTGACGCAAATCTGAAATGAAAAAACAAAGCTATAAGATGTTTCAATGACATATCGGTTGATGGTTTCTAAAATTGTGTTCCATTACCTCTCCTTCACCATTGGATGCAAAGTAGTCCATTTCCTCAACATCAACAAGTTTGATAGTGTTACATGGAATAGGAGCTCCAACATGCCCTAAAGTCAGAAAATGAAAATCAGCATTCTATATATAAATATGATATTATATTTATTATTTATTCAAACAAAGATATGGAAAATGATCCTCTTGAAAATGATCAGTTAATCTGTATTTACGTTAGGTGTCTGATTAAAGTGTGATTTCTGCTTTATTCTGCAAACTACTCTTCACATTTCTTCCAAATACAGAATAAAAATGGCATTTAGTGCATTTGTTTGCCTAAAATAACAAAAAGGGGCACATATTCAGACCTGTTTATTTTCATTTTTCAGGGTTTCTGCAGGTTTTTTTTGAGTCAATTGTAAAACGTTTTAAGACCATTATGAATGAAGTTTTAGACTTATACAGGGCTAAATATTAAAGATTTTTTCTAATGGGCTGGTTACGTCTGTAAATAGTTTTTGTATTAATGGAAGATCATGTAAAAGGATGTGTTGCTTTTTCTAGTTTTCCTTTCCTGATTATGGAATTTAATTTGGAGAATTTGCTGTAAAATGTTTAACAGCTGTTGTGAATTGTATCTCTTTGCAATAAAAACCTGAATATAAAAAAAAGGTTTTAAGATGGATTATTGGTAATTGGGAGTCAATCCGATAGGGTAGCTTTACCTGCACATAGGGAATTTATGCCTGTTTAAAATGATTTTAGACCTACAACATAATATTTCAGTAAATTTAAGACTTTAAGGCCTAAAATTTAGTTTTTGAATTTTAAGATGGTTTTAAGACCTCGCTGACACCCTGATTTTTAGACTAAACAATATCAATGTTTTTTAAACAATATAAATGTTAACTTCAGACCTAAATCCTAAATCTACATAAGATTCCAATAAGAATTTCTTTCATATTATGGAACTATACCTATAGGATTCCATTAGTTTTCTTGTAGAATTATTTAATAGGATAAGACACAAAAATTACTGCGTGGCAAAGATTAATCATGATTAATCGCATCCAAAATAAAAGTTTGTTTTGACAAAATGTGTGTGTGTGTGTGTGTGTGTTATATGTGATAGCAATAAAACTTTTTTTGCATAGATATTTAAACTTATATATAATTTGTTTATTATACATATATATTTTATATCTAAATATAAATAAACATTTTCTTACATATATGCATGCATGTGTGTATTTATATATAAACATATATATTATGTCAAAACTTTAATTTTGGATGCGGTAAATTAGGATTAATCTTTGCCCAGCTCTAATAAAAATCCTTTAGGACAGTTTATACAGGATTCGAATTTATTCCAATTATATTCTTAATCTTTTAATTTTGAAGAATCCTTGTGAAGTGTAAAGAAATCAGCATTTGGTGGAATAACCCTTAAGAAGAAAAAAGAATTACTCTAAATAATATTTTATTTTAAAATAACGTTATTAGACCTTTACAGTAATAAACCATTATTTTACTGAAAACCACACCTAATAGCCCCAATAAATCCAAAGAATCTGGGAGTTTTCAATTAATCATTACTTTTTTTCAGTCACAGTAACCCACCAGTTTTCCAGTCTCCTGGTATGGTGAAAGAGCAGGCCGCAGTGCACTCTGTCTGGCCATATGCCTCAAATATCTGGAAACAGAGCAGTGATAAAGAGGTCAGTGTTGAGTTACTGTGACACTGGATCAATACACATGCTTCATTGATAGTGGGTATGTTTAGTAAAAACACATTAATACTTTCTAGTAAAAGCAGAAACCATACAGTCTAGAGCTGCACATAAAGATAGCAATCTTAATTCGACCCCTAGACGATCTTAATCCAGCATTTCTACGATTCCGTCAATCATATTTTCAAGTTCAGGAGAGAAGCAACGGTGGGCGCACAAGTCTTCACATTGCTTAACAACATGGACACCTCCAAATGGTGTTAAAAGAGTCACCTGCTGTATTTATAAGATATAATTCACCCCAAAAATGTAATTTCTGTCTTCATGTAATGTATTTGCGACCGCAAAATCACACGTGACCTGAGCCTCTGAATGAGGTCTGCTTTAGTGAACAGAACCTGCATAGGCTGTGAATAACAGGTAATAAAGTTGTAAATAACATTCAGTTTGTGGCACAGTGATCGTTTGGGAGCCGCGCGGGAAGTGAACCGCTCTTGGCAGCGAAAATGAAACCGAAAGCGCACACAGTATTAAGATGCCAGGTGTAGCTGACTGATTCCAGCCCAAAAAGTATCCAAAACCTGCCAAAATGCAAAAATACCCACCCAGTCTTCTGCATTCACGAAAATCACATTAGTGACAGATTTTAAGCAGAAAATTACAGATTGTTAGCATATGTCTCAAACATAATAATTCAGCATCAGAATTATCATCAGCATTAATGACCAGGACAAATCTAAAGTCTGTTCAAGTCCACCATTCCAAGTCTAAATACAATTTAGCATTTTAACCAACAGTACAGCTAAACAAAGCTTATTGCTGTTTAACCACATGTTTGAGAATAACAATAATAATAGCCCACTTATATTAACCTTTACAGAATCGTCCGAAAATCGTTATTTTAAAAATTGTTGTTTAAAAAAAAAACAAAAAAAAAACGCGATTCTCATTTTAGCCAGCTCTAATACAGTCACTCATTTTTATCATCACACTCCCATTTCTTCTATTCTCACCTGGCACCCAAGACATGCCCGGAGAAAAGTGAGCACAGATGGAGAAATAGGAGCAGCTCCAGTCACCATCACTCTCACACGGCCTCCGAGAGACTCCTGAGGGAGACAGTTCAGAATTTTCCAGAACCATTCCTCATAAGTGCATCACAAAATATAAAAAAACAATTCTCATCTGTTCAGTTGTGGATACCTGCACTTTGTGAAAGATGAGTTTGTCCCACATGCTGTCGTTCCTGATAATGCCCTGCTTGACTTCCGCACATTTCTTCTCAATGGCAAAGTTCAGTAGCCACTTCTTAAATGGAGTCTTGGCCCCACTTTGGACCTGAGAAAACAGTAGAAAGTGGACAATGAATGACTTAAGAGCTGCTTATTGGTTTTCTTTGTGTAACTGAACAGGCTGAGGAAAATTCATACACAACACTGAGTGTACATCTTCAAGATATAGAACATTTTGTAGCCTAAACATGGAGCACATACAAAATTTGTACACTCTCCTTAGTGGAAAAACTACATGGCCTTTACATATATAAATTAGATGATGATAATTTTTGCATTAATTATTAAATGTGAGATCATGCGGTTAAAACAACATTTTCCAAAATCACACATTTAATGTGTGCCCCTTTAAAACAGATTCAATACAGTTTTTTTTTTTTACAAGCAAAACAACTTACAGAGTCCACTTGATAATTTTTTATTTCAAGTAAGAAAAAAGTAGCTAAGTCTTGTGCTACTCTGATTAACTTTCCAGTTTTCACAATGTTTTAACAATGGGTTTCAGGTTAAAATCTAAATCACGTTACCTCAGTTTTATATACAGATTACAGAGCAAGAATGCTAAATGTAACACAGACTAAGGTGCTAACTGATGATTTTCATTTAGACGTGTTTCTAAAACCTGTGTAAGATTAAGAGAATTTAAACCAAGAGGTTATTTAGTTTGAAGCTTTAACAAAGTTTAATTGTGTTTAATTATTGATGCAATGAAGATTATACTGTGCTATAGGGCTGTGTGATATGGGCAAAAGAAAACTATCACGATTTTCTTGAACAATATTGCGATTTCGATTTTTACAGTGTGACTCTAAAACATAATTTTAAAGGAAAACAATTAGATCTTTATCAAAGACCTGAAACATGAATAAGGCAAATAAAAATCACCTAGTAAAACTGTAACAAATTGTCTCTACAACAGACCAATGGCAAAACAAATAAATATCCTACTTTGTGTGTGCGCCGTCAAACTCTGCTTGACCATAGTTGCGTGTAATTTTGCACTGTTGTCCACAGATTTTGTTTAGTATTTTTTTGCGTATTTTTACGCAGGAGGACCTAGATGACTAGATCTCAACTTTTACTTCAAGCACACAAGGTAACAAGAACTGACCGATCAGTTTCATACTGATTTCAACACAGAACACCCAAACACCCAGTGCTTTTGAATTTTCTCCATAATTAAAACTCATCGAAACTGCAGCAATGTTTCATCCTCTGAAAAAATGGTTGATGGTCGCCTATCAATGACAAACGACAAAGTGCATTGAAAATGCTAAAGGAACGACATGCCTCGCTCTTTCCACACGGTATTTCGATGCAATATGTAACTGACTGTTCTTCCAAATTCCTGGTTCTGTGATACAACAGCCTTTCTAAAGTAATGCAAGACCACAAATGTTGACATTTTTTTGGCACCAAGTCCTCCTGTGAACTCGCCATCCCTATTTACGCAGGCCTAAGCTCAGTCTCCTGTTCTTACGCTCTGTTATGTTGCGTTTCATAGAATTATAACGTGCTGCATAATGATTGGTTCAAATAGCATACTGCGGCAAAATCATGCTGTCAGTTGATTTACAAATCATGCATGTATACTGTATACCCCTACAAAATAACCATGATCAATCTACAATTATTAATTCCTTCCAAATAGAGTTATAAGACAACTTGTGGAACTTAATTTATATCGCAATATACAAATCGCAGGCAAATAAAATATTGCAAGACTGTCAATTTTTTTCCGATATCATGCAGCTTTACCACAGACAACAGTTACTAGTGCACCCTTGAGGCCCAGAGAGTAAGATTCACGGCACGGTAAGGTCACGGCACCACTTTAACCCAGAACTTCTAACTACAAACCAAGCAAGATTTTAACATCTGTGTCCAGCATTAGAGGTGGATATGCTAAAAAGAACACTGAAGTATACTTGAATGCCTTTTTATGCCAGGAGAGTGAGGTTTACCTACAACAGTGGTGCTCGACCCTGTTCCTGGCGATCGACCTTCCTGCAAAGTTCAGCTCCAACCCTGATCAAACACACCTGAACCAATTAATTAAGACCTGAACAGCACTTGAGAATTACAGGCAGGTGTGTTTGATATGGGTTGCAACTGAAATCTGCAGAAAGGTCGATCGCCAGGAACAGGGTTGATCATGCCTGACCTACAACATTCTTACTAGCTGATCTCTGTTACTCTCACCCCATAAACCTCACTCCTATCCGGGTCACGGCACCAAAATTACTCCTCTGGTTCTATTTTACAAGGACGATATCATTAGATGCTAGCACTGTCACATCTACTGGCTGCCTGGCCTCCATTACATATGGATAGGTGCCCATATATACTAAAAAAATTATATTGATTAATTATCTCTATTTCAGAGGTTGCCAGAGCAGAATGAACTGGCAACTATGCATATGCATATCTAGCATATGTTTTACATATCAATTGTTCAATTCACCCATACCCCGTGTCTTTGGAAGCAAACATGGGGAGAACATGCAAACTCCACACAGAAACGCCAACTGGCCCAGATGGGACTCAAACCAGTGACCTTGCTATGAGGCAACAGTACTAACCACTGAGCCACCGTGCCACCCTTAAAAATATTACAATAGCCCTATTATGGCTATTATGGCTTGGTGTGTATATTCATACCTTGTCATAAACACGATTCAGAAGACGTGGAACCACTGGGAATACTGTCGGCTGCAGGGCTTTCATGTCATCTGGTAAAAGTCTGATATCACCTTGGAAAAAGCCAACTCTTCCCCCCACACCGTACAGCACTGTCTGATACACATAAATAAGAACAGGCAAGCATGACTCCAGTGTTCTGTGAAAGAAATCCACCTATGTGATTTATAAAAGATTCGAGTACATGACGCTTGAAATCTGAAAGGTCTTCAGCAATGTTTCATCAAAGATGACAGCTGGAGACAGATATAAAAAGGCGGCTTACCTGTACAACCCTCTCGAACATGTGTGCCAGCGGCAAAAACGAGATGGACACGTCGGATGGAACGGGCACAAAGACGCTCTGAAGAAATATGGGTTTGGCATCCAACATTAAAAATCTACACCCCAACAGAGGCTTTGTAAAAATCATGTAGCCATCACATTGACATACAGCACCTCAAAGGTTCTAACCACACCAGCTGCATCTGCAACCACGTTTTCATGGGTCAGCATGGCTCCCTTTGGATCCCCTGAAGCAGAAAATACTGAATTAAACCTCATACAGTTTGAACACACCACATTATTTACTAGCGGTGGCTTAAATGTGGTTTCTTTGAGGTCATGAAGAAGACTGCATCAAACCTACCCGTGGTTCCACTGGTAAAGCAAATAATACTTAGGTCTTCTGGCTTTGGGGGCTGAAAAAAAAATATCAAAGCACATCCGAGTTTGTCAAATACATTAATAAATACCACTGCTAAAAACACAGTTCATAATTAACTCATTACTCACAACAGGTCTGTGATGGTTGTTCTTTCCCAGGGCCTAAAAAAAGCACAAATGTTTTTAAAAATATATTTTGTTTTGGGACGCCGAAAGATTTAATATTTAATAAAGCTTTAATATTTTGTATTATTCTTTATTATTTATTGCTGATCAGTGTACCTCTACATCTTTTAGAGACAGGACGTCCAACCCAATCTTAGAGCCTCTTTCGGTCAATGCGCTGTCATAGGAGTCCATGAGGATGATGGTTTTCAACAGGGGGGTGAGTTTTTTCTCAGAGTTATCCAGAAGTGTTTCTGCTTTATCCTTCTTATCGCATATCACTGTGGATATGTTTGCTGTGGAGAGACATGGAGTACTTAAGAGTGTAAGCAGAGGTAGCACAAAATCACTATGGCATTAAACTGTTTTTTGTGAAAGGTCCAATATGGTAACCGAGGAATTTATGTGGTAATTATAAACTTAATGATGACATAACCATTCAAAACTGATTATTCGATTGATTACTTGATTTATTCGATTTGTTAGTTTAAAAGAAATAAAACAGTTTATTAAAAATGGAATTCTAGAGGGCAAAGAAGCATTTATTTGATGAAAATAAATATTTACATTGATAGAAAATAAATACTATTCTTTTGAACTCTGAAATCATGACAGTTTTGCAATTTCCATTATTCATTGATGCAGAATATAAAAAAAAGATCACACAAAAAAGCACAATAGGTAAAAATAATAATAATCAGCAAAATCATACTTTAATTAGTAAATAATTAATTGAATTAGGGGTGCAGTGAGTAGCACTGTCGCCTCACAGCAAGAAGGCCGCTGGTTCAGTTTCTCCCACAAGTCCAAAGACATGCAGTATAGGTGAATTGGGTAAGCTAAATTGTCCAAAGTGTGTGTGTGTGTGTGTGTGTGTGTGTGTGTGTGTGTGTGTGTGTGTGTGTGTGTGTGTGAATGGGAGTTTATGGGTGTTTTCCAGTGATAGGTTGCAGCTGGTAGGGAATGCGCTGCATACAACATATGCTGGATAAGTTGGCAGTTCATTCCACTGTGGCGACCCCGGATTAATAAAAGGACTAAACCCAAAAGAAAATGAATGAATGAATATTATATGATATTTAAGATAGAGTATTGAAAAAGTTTTTCGTTTCACTTTGGTATGGCAGACATGAAAAGCAATGAAAAATTTAAAATGAGATATAATCACAATCAACATAAACCAAGAGAATGAAGTTTTCCAAAAAAAAATATAAGTATTTTTGCAAAAATAAAATAAAATTAAAAAAATTAAAAAAGCTTCATTCTTTGAATAATAGTTGGGGATATGTTTTAATTTAAGGTGATAATCTTTGTCAATGTTTGAGTCGATAAGTCAAATTGTTTAAAAGACACTGCAACTTTAAAAAAAAATTTATGATTAATATTTTTAATGCATTAGATGCAAAACCTTTTAAGTGCCACCTAAAATTTAGCTAAAATTAGCATCTTTTTCAGCCTCCTTTATTTATGTTCCTATATTTTTCTTTAAAGGCAATAAAAAAACTTCTTATAGCCATAAACATGAAATTACTGAGCCTACATAAAAGAGCCTGAGAAAAATACTCATTTTAGAAGAGAATTTTAGATGGCACTTTGGAGGTTTTTGCATCAAAGCTCTTAAATTATATTAAGAATTTTTGACAAACTCCAATAGTTATTTTATTAGTAATTTTCACAAAAACTAGGAATACAGCAAAAAAAAAAAGTGATGAAATACTGTACTTAACTGGAGTGTGGTGCAATCTAAATTTGAGTCATCTGGATCAAAAGTTTAAAAAATTACAAGTAAATTTTTCCACTGGCGGTGGTGCTTTAAAGTTGTCTAGAGACCACAAAGTTGGTCAATTATTAATCAACCCAAAAATTATGACATTTTCCTTTGGTTTAGTCCCTTATTTATCAGTGGTCACCACAACGGAATGAAACGCCAATCATTCCAGCATATATTTTACGCAGCTGATTCCCTTCCAGCTGCAACCCAGCACTGGGAAACACCCATACACTCTTGCATTCACACATGCACTCAAACACTATGGCCAATTTAGTTAATCCAATTCACCTATACTGCATGACTTTAGATTGTGGGAGAAACTGGAGCACCAAGAGGAAACCAACGCCAACGCGGGGAGAACACACAAACTCCACAAAGAAATGCCAACTGGCCCAGCCGGAACTTGAACCAGCGACCTTCTTGCTGTGAGGCAATAGTGCTAATCACTGAGCCACCGTGCCACCCATAACACTAACAGTAATATTTTGAAAAGAAACCTTTGTTTAAGTGGAACTAGTTACTGAATTATAATTAATGGAAGCTGGTTGAACCATATATAATAGTATATTTTTTAGTAATAGTATAATATACACTATAATAGTATATCATTTATTATATAATAGTCAATAGGTAAGCAAAGCAGCTTAAAGTATAGAGGTAGAAAAAAAGCAAGCACACAGAAGTCACTAGAACAATAGAGTCATCCAGTTCTGGGGGATTATGTAAGTCAGCGGAGTTCATCAGGTGTGATCCCTAAAGCTGCTCTGACCAACACCTTTAATGAAGCATGCAAGCAAGCAGGCTTAAGTACCTCTATTAATGATGAACACAAGAGCCTCAGGTCCCAAGGTGTCGTAAAGAGGCACTGCCACCATGGAATAGGTATAGCAGGCCAGTTCTGCGATAATCCACTGCAAACAGGACAGAAAGGTTAGTATTGTATATGTATGTGGAGTACAGTGGTGCATCACCAATGGATTAGGATGGATTAGAATAGTCCTGTCTTACTGGCTGTCATAAAGGTGTAAGGTGTAGCACAGCTTTAATTATCTTAAACAGTAAACACTTTACTTGCACTTAATATGCTTTATTTGTATATGAAATCACTCTAGTAACTTTTATTTGATGAGGACACCAAAATTGGTCTCAAAAAATACTGTGAAAAGAATATTTTGCAACATTTATTTGAAGGTGTTAAATGTTTTTTAGTAAAAACTAATGCAAATTATGTAAAATTACATACATCTCTTAATATTTTACATTAATTTTACATAAAAAATCAGATGTTTTGATATATAGAACATTTTGAATGATATTTAGACATCTTATTTCACCTCTGGTCGGTTCTGGGCAAAGATGCCAATAAATGTATCTTGTGAAGGTTTTTGTCCGCGGTGGATCAGTCCGGAGCCCAAAAACTCAGCTCTGTCAGAAACCTGAGACAATCAGATGCAAGGATTGAACCTTAGTTGTCCTTCCTGAGCTCAAAATTGGTCTACAAGGGATATAGCTGCGGATACTCATATCAAAATAGAATTTGTGACACTGAACAACACAAATTAATATTTTAAATTAAATTACTGTGAGGGTTGGGGTGGGTGTGGTCACTAATAATATATAATTATTAGATAAAATATTAATTAAATAATTCTAGTTATCTTCCGGCCGCAGCAGTATCCCTTCTAGTAACAACCCTTACAATTAAGTTTGTGGTTTGTACAAATACCTGTTTGTATTTAAGCCACTGATAAGGTTGCCCTTTCTTCCTGAATCCCAAACACGGTCCATTTCCTGCATGAATGGATTAAATATTGTTTAGCTCATATTCCAAGTAAGATTAAATACACCAGGGAAACTAAAATGAAACTAAAAGGTTAATGAAACTCTCAACAAATTTTTCTGAGATTTTTACAGATCTATGTGTGTTGAACATCACTTACAAGACAGCATCAGCATCTGTTAGCTTTAATTTAAAGGGGACAACTGCATAATTATGTGCTTTTCCCACTAAGCTTGTCTATTGTGAGTTTGGGGTTTTATAGTCCTTTATAATTAAAAAAAAACATATTGATATTTGGTGATACTTTGAAATTTGGCCACATGACCTCTTACCTGAGACACGTAGTCCTCTTTGAAAAACTTCATAGAGCGTTTTGCCATCTTCGTACATGTATGAGATCAAGTTGTCAGATTTCAAAAGCGCTGATTTTCTAGCTCCACCCTGTAAATACAAATGACCACATTAATAAATTGGTCAAAAAAACACAAGCTCGAAAAACACGTCATCATTTTTTGACACATTCCAGCATGAACTCGGTTCAAATACAGCGTCTGATGAACTCATTTTTTCCCCCTACTACATATCAGATTTTGCCAACTATTTATCACGAGAAAGACAAGTAGGAATCATTAATAAGTTTGTGCATCATATTTTATTTGCACATTTATTGAATGGAAATGTTTCTGATTCACGCATGCAAATTCATCTTCAGATAGTGTCTTTATAGCACTGTGCGTGCAGTAGATAGCTCCCATTACATTGGGAAAACAGGCGACCGCTGCAATTTGCGCTTTAATGTTTGGCTGGTCAACTGTATGGTATGGAAACCTTATATACCTGCTAGATGAACCTGTCTCATACAGCTGCCATTGCAAGGCTCAAAGACACTTTGTAGAGAGGAATTTAACACAACTGCCTCTAGGAGTCGCCAATGGAAATAAAACAGACACCCACAAAAAATGTGCGTACGCCAGCCATAAAGCTGGCGTGGAGCTGCGCACATTCCCACGTTCAGTTCATTGTTAGTAAATCCAAACGTGAGCGATTCTGAGCGTGAAACCTGGTGTACGCAAAGTTTTTGTGCGTACGCAGCGTTAATACATGAGGCCCCAGGACTCTTCCTAAAGCTGGCGGGCCATCTAAGCTGAGTGATCAGGGGTGAAGGGCCTCAGTCAGGGAGGTGATCAATAACCGGATGGTCACTCTGAGGTCCAGCATTCTTCTGTGGAGAGATGAGGACCTTACAGAAGGACAACCATCTGTGCAGCAGTCCACCAATCAGGCTTGTATGGTAGAGTGGCCAGACGGAAGCCACTCCCTGCCTGGAATTTAACAAAAGGCATCTGAAGGACTCTCAGACCATAAGAATTTCTCTGGTCTGATGAAACTAAAATTGAACTCTTTGAAGTGAATGCCAGGTGTTACGTTTGGAGAAAACCAGGCACCGCTCATCACCAGGCTAATACCATCCCTATAATGAAGCATGGTGGTGGTAGCATCATGCTGTGGGGATGTTTTTCAGCAGCAGGAACGGGAAGACTAGTCAGGATAGAGAGAAAGATAATTGCAGCAATGTACAGAGACATCCTGAATGAAAACCTGCTTCAGAGTGCTCTTGACCTCAGACTATGGCAACAGTTCATATTCCAGCAGGACAAAATATGAATGGAGTGGATTCACAACCAATCAGTGATTTTTCAGGTTTTTTATTTTTAATTAAATTGCAACAATTTCAAGAAATATTTTTTTCACATTGTCATTATGGGGTATTGTGTGTAGAATTTGAGGAAATACATAAATTTATTCCATTTTGGAATAAGGCCGTAACAAAAAATTGTGGAAAAAAATGAAGCGATATAAATAAGTTCCTTTCCGGATGCACTTTATAATTAATATTTAACAATAATCTCATATCTTAGATCTGTGGTAAAGCATACCTTTCCACGCTTAACATTAAACATCACACATCATTAAACTAGATACTGAAAGCATTATGAGCATACTGTTAGTGTACCACAACAATCATTCAGAACAGTTTTTATGGTTTAAGAATCACAGGTACTATTCCACATTGCAGTTTGTTTGGCTGTTCATTGTATGATTTGGTTGTTTTACTCTTCAACAAACAAGCTGATGCACTCACCGCTACACCTACAGTCTGCCGGTTAAGATCTGTCGGTGGCTGCAGTGGTTTCGGCCTTGTGTTGAGATGAACCAGGGCTACTGCTGCGAGACTGAACAAAAACACCAGTCCTGAGGTGGACAGCGGCGTGAAAAGAAACTCAAACAGGAACTCCATAATCTACAGCGTCTGCAAGAGCAACTGAAAAACAAAGTGAAACAGTATTGAGAATAAAAGGGAATACTTACTTCTACATAAGTATGTGCCATATCTAAGTAGGTGAATATGAAGTTGAAGGTCATTGTAAAAACAAAATAGTTTTGATGCGGCATTGATTAAAAGATATTGTCCAATATCAGTATGACCTTTGGAGAAGATAAAAGTCACTTTGTTTAAAGGTTGAAAAACATGATAAAATACATTTTCCTGCTTGCTATTACAACTTTGTGGTGGCGTCCATGTGCTTTCCACTCTTAAATTCCACTCGTCTATTTGACATTACTTGAATGCAACAATAATGTGAGACAGTGTGTTCATATACATTTGGGCTGCCAGTAAAACTCTAATAACATCTCACAATAGTCAAAAAAAAGACCAGTCATCGAATATAAATGAATAAATGAATAGACACGTAAGGTCTATTTTTGGACTATTGTCAGATGTCTATTACTGATAGCTCAATTTTAGGCCAAACGTCTACATTTGGACATTCATTAAAGGTATTTTAAACATAAAATTGGTGGGAACAAACACTGGCATTTAGTAACATAATGAAAACATACAGTAAATGTGAGAGTGTTTGTGTTAGACTACACAAACACTCTCACATTTACTGTATGTTTTCATTATGTTACTACTATTATCTTTTCTTTAACTTTTAATATTCACCGACGAGTCTATATTATGATTTGATTTAATCATACAAATCAAATAAACTCAAATCATCAATTCAAAATGTACTTTCTGATTACTTTGTTTTGCTGGTATGAACTGTCTGTCAAGCTCAACTAAGTCAGATTTATTTTTTTATAAATTTTCCTCCAAATATCAGCATAATTGCTTCTTAAAGAGATAGTTCAACCTCAAATGAAAATCGGTCTCTATGAACTCACCCTCCACTGATTACAAATCAATTTGAGTATCTTTGTTCTGTTTACATGTTCAAAATATTTTGAAGAATGTTAGAAAGCAGCAGTCATTGACTATCATAGTATTTTTTGTTTCAACTATGAATATCAATGGCTGTTGGTTTCCAACATTGTTTAAATTATATTGATTTGAGTTCAAAAGAAAAAAACTAATTCTGTGAGGAAATGACATTTTTGAGAGAACTATCCCTTTAACATATTGCAGTGTTATTCAGCCATTGCCGTTCATCCAAATGCATGGCCTCCAGTATGACACACATGGCTGTTATAATAATGCTGTTGCATCTGTTACTTTATCCACCTAGCCATGCATTTATAGAGGCCAAAGTCTAGCAATGGTTACATAACCTTTTCCAGCCTCGAGAGCATCAGCTACCATTTGTATGAGGCACAAAAAAGTGATTTATGTATAAAGTGATTTATGTATGAAAAGTAAACTCTTTTAATAGTTGCTTTTTGAGCAAGGAAATAGACTGACACTCATGTTAAGTTTCTTTTTTGAATATTTAATATTCAAAACATTGGACTTAAATCATCCTCAAAATAATTTGTATCTTTCCAAAAAGGGTGTAAAAAAGAAAACATGTGAATGTAACTTTGACATGCCAATATTCAAAAATATAACATCCGAAAATATAAAATCCTGATAATAAATTATTATAAGCACCTCAAAATAGAGTGAATAATTAGCTATTATTTACATTTTTGAATGGATTGCATTAACATAATAGCTTATGTAACAAAATGCATTAATATTGTTTACTATTACTAATAATAATACATTTTAAAGATATAAGGTGCTTTTCTCGCACCTAAAGTGTTACAAGATCAATTAAGACAATAACAAATTGAATATGATAAAATGCACAGCATAAATAAAAATCAAAACATATTCATAAGCAATTTTAAAGAGGTGCGTTTTCACTAGTTAATGAGACCTCATTATACGCTGCCTACTCTGCTTTACTGTACTCTTTGAAATATTTGTTTACTCTGAGCATTTATGGACAGCCAATATACAAAAATACAGAATATTTTTGTTATTATAGTACTACATAATAGTATTTTTGTTTTTAAAATAACCCTTTTTTGGAGCTTACATCAATAATGTGACAATACTAAATATCTTGATGAACGCTTCAGCAGTTTATCACAACAAGAACAATTGATACCATCATCTATGGATACAAAACTACTTCTATATTGTGCAAAATGCAACAGACACAAGTCCTCTTTTTTTAAGTGACCCTTTTCTGTGCAGATTGTGTGGTAACACTTTATTTAACAGTCCTTTTTAGCATGTACAGCACATACCATGCACAGGCTTATCATACTGTAAATCGGATAACAACTAGGCACTATGCAATAACCAAACCTATGTAGCTACTTCATATTATGTTCATAGACAACTAAACTCTAAGAACATATACCGTAAATCAAATTACAATCATTTCTATTGTAAACATGCATAAAACTAAACGCAAATTGATACCTTCACAGCAACTGAACAATAGTGTTTTGCACAATGCCATGTATATGAAATTCAGAATGAAAGCTAGTACCTTTCAGGATGCTAAAAGCTTTGTAACCTGCAGGTGTCCAGTGTGTACGTCGAGAGTTGAAACTGGGAGAAAATATCCTGAGAGAGAGTCCCTTGTAGAGGTTTGCAACAGCCACAAGAAGACTGAGGAGAAAGGCATAGTCCCGGGTCCAATAAAACAAGCACATAAGTGACCTTTGAACTAAATGCTGCTATCTGTGTCCTGATAATACAAATGACTGAACAATAACAGAATCGCGGCTATATAGTGAGTCCAGTGAAGTAATTGCATGTTGCTCAAGATTCACAAGACTGTGCTTTTAAAGTCTGGATGCACCAAAGGACATGCGAATGTAAAACAGCACAGCATTAGTTTGAAATGTGGACTATGACATTTGCCTTTGCTGGTCAGTGTGACATGGAATTGGGTAGAAAGTTGCATAGATCAGGTTAAAATATTGTATACAGCTTCTGTTCCCACTCACATACTCAAGTTTTCATTACAATCGCTAATTACTCTGGTGGTTTTTGGTAATGTTTTGCTGATTCAATGCATCATTTACAGAATTGTGGGTTAAATTGACCACGGAAGAGGCCACTGGGACACTAAAATGCTTGTTAGCATGTACTAGCCATATCACACCTCCTATTAACACCTATCAGCCTCAGGTAAGCATGACACAACATGACCTTACAAACACACAGTTTTCGTAGCTCATTTGCCTCAGCATTATTATCACAGCAGTTTAGGAAGGACGTCCAAGCTGAACTTTGACATTTGACTGTAATGACAGATAAGATGCGAGCACCTTTGGATTTTGTAATCTGTTCTGATAATAGACAATGCAATTAAATGAATGAAAGCCGTCAAGGCCTTTGAGGGTTTGAGACTCTTGTCGATTGAAGTCCAGTTCAGGCCAAAGTTAAAGTGAGATACACACTCAGAAAAAAAAAACAATCTGATCTGCATGCAGAAATCTCCAGTTTTTTTAGATTTAATAACATCTTACTGACAATGTGTACAAAAATTTGTGATAATGATAAAAGTAATCTAATAAATAAATGAACAATACAATACAGTACATTATTCAATTTAGCGTACACAGTGTGTACGCTAAATTGAATAATGTACTGTATTGTATACAGTGCATCCGGAAAGTATCAAATCAAATCAAATCAAATCAGGCCTTTATTTGTGTGTACAGTACCCGTTCGTATAGTGAAATTGAACCCCCCAGACCGTACACAAACATCACAATTTTTAGGGGAGGACACGTCACAGGAGGTAGCATTTAAAAAAAGCAAGATAGATACATTTCAGGAGAGGGGGGGCAAAAAAAATCCCTCTCACCTTGCTCTTGAAATAGGGCAAAGTGAGATCAAGGAGAAAAAAATTCATACCACTTCACTTTTTCCACAATTTCTTTTAAAAATTCAAAAATGGATTAAATTCATTAATTTCCTCAAAACTCTACACACAATACCCTATAATGACAATGTGAAAAATTATTTTAAAAAGATGACAATGTGAAAAAAGAACGAGAGCACAGAATGCATCCTGTGAGAAATGAGATTCTCGGTACTTCCTGATGGTCACGTGACCTTCACACATTTGTAATAGAAAATTTTTTAAACATTACATCATTTATACAGAAATTTATTGTTTTCCCCTTTTCAATACTATGCATAAAGACTTTTGTTTGCATATAATTTTCGTTGCACAATATAAATAAAACAGATTTTAATATGAATTTCAACAAATAAACACCCTTATGTTTATTCCTTTATTATGATTTTAATGGTGTTTACTTTCAAAGTTTCATTTAGGAAAACTCCTAAGATAAATAAGCTATATCTCTGAACTTTAATAATCAACCTATATAAATGCTGCACTTCCTACCTCCAGTGGTAATGACTTCTGGGACTTCTCGAGCAAGTTCTGTGCTCAAGTCTGCATCGGTGCATCCTCAATATCAAGAAAACATACAGGAACTTTCACGCGTCCGCTGTACTTACTTGCGATCTTGAGCACTGGAACTGAACTTTGGCATTTGATGATGACATTTACACGAGAACACAAGGACACAAGATTGCTGAAGAACGCATATTAAGAAACAGCTTCTGTTTCTACTGATCATTCTTGAAATGTTTCAGCAACTTAATTGGAGTTCACCTGTGATAAATTCAGTTGAATGCACATGATTGAAAAGGCATACACCTGTCTATATAAGAGCCCAGGGTTGACAATGCATGTCAAACCACAAACCAAGCATGAAGACAAAGGAATTGTCTATAGACCTTCCAGACAGGATTGTCTCGACGCACAAGGCAGGGGATGAAATTAAAGGCTTTAAATTAAAGTTGAAATTAAAGTTATATACGCTTATGGATTGCGGATATAACTGAGGACGCAGGTGGTGAGGGAGGTGTCGCGGACGCCACCCTCTTTATTCTGCTGTCCTAGGCACGGATATAACTGAGGATACGGGTGGTGATGGAGGTGTCGCGGACATAACTGAGGATGCGGGTGGTGAGGAAGGTATGCTTCCCTCACTATTCTGCTGCCCTAGGCGACCGCCTAGGTCGCCTCTATGGACGCACCGGCCCTGGTGATTGGGGGAGAAGGGCATTAGTCAAGGGAGGTAATCAATAACCTGATGGTCACTCTGTCTGAGCTCCAGCATCCTTCTGTGGAGAGAGGACAACCATACAAAAGGACAACCATCTGTGCAGCAATCGATCAATCAGTCCTTTATGGTAGAGTGGCCAGACGGAAGCCACTCCCCAACTCGCATTTGCCAGGCATCTGAAGGACTCTCAGACCATAAGAAACAAAATTCTCTGGTCTGATGAAACTAAAATGTAACTCTTTGGAGTGAATGCCAGGCGTTACGTTTGGAGAAAACCAGGCACAGCTCATCACCAGGCTAACACCATCCCTACAGTGAAGCATGGTGGTGGCAGCATCACCTGTGTAAAGTCTGTGAATACCTATGTACATGTGATGTTTCAGGTTTTTTATTTTTAATAAATTTGCAACAATTAAAAAAAATCTTTTTTCACATTGTCATTATGGGGTATTGTGTGTAGAATTCTAAGAAACTGAATGAATTTAATTCATTTTGGAATAAGGCTGTTACAAAAAAATTAGAAAAAGTGAAGCGCTATAAATACTTTCCGGATGCACCCTATATATACTGTACACACTCACGCAATACAAAACATATAAAAACATTTACATTACAAATCTAATCATATAATAATAATAATAATAATAATAATAATAATAAATAGTAATAATTGGAATTTGTATTATTTATATATTAACAACATGAAAATTTTGGCTTTTTAATACAAATTCTACATTATATTGAATTAAAATAAAACACACTCACACACACACACACACACACACACACATGTATTTATATTATTTTACAATTATTCAGTTGATAAAATAATTTAGCTGCTTTTTATTCTTATTTCTATTTACCCAGAAATTCATATGATTGTGCTAGTGAAAAGTGCCTGAAAACTTGCACTCTAGGTGCTAAGTGCTCTTTCTCCAGAGAAACACATGATTAGAATTAATTTCCCCAGGGTAGACAAAGGCCATTTAAAACTCGCCGTATTTCTGAAAGACGATCAAAGTGATTGTGTGCAGGTAGGATGTCAGGAGGATTAGCCTCAGACACAAGTCGACCCATAAGATGGTGGCTGCTGTTTACAGCTTTTACAAACTCTGTCATTTGCAACAAAGACGGCCAGTTCAAGCTAACGGTGGGCCTTCAGGCTCCTCGGAACATTTCTTACCCTTTCAGTTTGCTCAGGCTGGGGTCAGCGATGCAAATAGCCATGGACAAGATCAACTCAAATCCAGCTCTCAGTGGAAACTTCACCTTTGACTTCGTCTACATGGACACAGACTGTAACGCCAAAACCTCACTGAGGGGTTTCATCGAGCAAGTAATGGAGCAAAATGTGTCCGCGTTATTTGGTCCCCCCTGTCCTGAGGAGGCAGAAGTAAGTGACAGAATTGGATTTGTTTACTTTTTTATATGATGTAATTTTATGTAAACGTATAAACAATTGAAATATCATGCATTGCTAGTTCTTTTCAGACATTAAGGGTTAAATTAGAGTTACCAGAGCGTAAACCTGTCACCAAATCTGCGTATAAACAGCAAGATTCCGCTTCCGCTTCATTTACTGCTAACGTTACAGATGAAAAGAACGATTAAAAAAGCGACAGATGATTCACAGATGTGTGAGGCTTTCCTCTGTAGTTGTTTGCGTTCTACATGTATTTGTATGTATTTGTTTAAATTATGTTTCAATAAGGTAAGTTAGTATTATTATTATTATTATTATTGTTACATTTACATTGAGTAATGTCCTGTATAGATTTTTCTTGTATAGGTTTAGTTTGGTTAATTTGTACATATTTGTGGTCCTGAATAAATAAAATATAATATATATGTATGTATGTATTATGTATACATTTATGTGTGTGTGTGTATGTGTATATATATATATATATATATATATATATATATATATATATATATATATATATATATATATATATATATATGTGTGTGTGTGTGTGTGTGTGTGTGTGTGTGTGTGTGTGTGTGTGTGTGTGTGTGTGTGTGTGTGTGTGTGTGTATATATATATATATGTGTGTGTGTGTGTGTGTGTGTGTGTGTGTGTGTGTGTGTGTGTGTGTGTGTGTGTAACAAATAATAATAATATGTATTCTTTAGCACTTTTATATATATATATATATATATATATATACATACATAGCACTTATATATACAAAATGTGCCATGTGAATTACTAATAAAATATTTTACTAGACATTAAACAAAATTCCTTAAAAATAGTCTCTTGAAATGATGCGCTGTGTATATTAAAATATTAAAATATACAACAACAAAAAAAATATGAATTTTTAAAGGTGTCCAATACATGCTCGTTCACGAATCTTGTCAGGAATAAATGATATGATACTAAAACAGCCAATTCATTTAATGATTTAAGCGATTCGTTCACAATTACTGATTCATTTATCAGCAACTT